GGATTGATATCTTTGGGGGCCATTCTTTTGCTTATGACCTTGGATTATGCCAGGCTATTTCATTTCTATTCTTGTTCCCCGAGTCTTGTCTCTTTGCATCATGTCAAGACTCAGGACAAGAATTTCCGCCTTCATGATATTCCCTGGCCCTTTGCCAGCTGAATTGACTCCTCTGTCCTTCTAGCTCTCCCTGGGGTTCCCCCCTTCAAATATTCTCATAGGGCCTGTAATGCTTCTGTGCACTTGGTTTAGGTGTCTTCTCCTTTGCTGACACTTACTTGGAGCTCTTGAGTATAGGGCTGTGTCTTGCTCAACATTCTATCTCAGTGTCTAGCACAGGACCTGGTGTATACCAGGATTTGGTAATTCTTGTTAAATGAGCAAAAGACTGCTTCCTGCATGGAATTTGTCTTAACAATGTGCTGGGATGCAGAAACCCACTACCCTTAAGCCCAAAGAACTTGACCTAGATCATAAGACCTGCCAGTGGCACTGCTTGCTTTAAAACATAAACTTCATGGAGCAAATAATGACTTTTTGCACATCATTAACTTCCTTGATGTAGCTACTGACCAACTTGTGACTTTGGGGAAAGGTCATGGAGCCTCATTTTTTCTTCTGAATCAAGGAGGTAGGACTGTATGATCACCAAAAACTAGTATAGGGTTAAAGCATGGGCTCTGGAGCCAAACTGCCAGCATTTGAAACCGGGCCCTGCTTCTTACTTGCCGTGTCCTTTGCAAGTTACTTAATCTCTTAGTTCCTCAAAATCTTTACCTATAAAATGGGGAGTCATACTAGCACCCATACCTCATAAAGTCGTTCTGAGGATTAAACGTGTTATGGTAAGTAAAGCAGTCTAAATGTCATTATTATTATCATGAAATTCCCTCTGATCTAAAATTTATGGTTGTGTCTAGATTTTTGTGGAAGAGGGTTGTCTAGACTCCCTCTTCGCTCTTTTCCTGCTCCAGACTGACTGCCTTTCCAGCTCTTCATCTTCCTGCTGTTACTGTGCCTGGACAAATCTTGCACCCTGCCTTGGACTCCCTTAGAACCCTCCCCTTTCTGGGCTTCACCATGTGGCAGAACCTTCGTACCGGTCTTGGCAGGGCTTCTGTGGCCTATCTGCGGTGTGTGCTGCTGCCCCCTGCAGGCCAAAAGCTGTGATTCCCCTGCCCTGGCCTGAGGGTCTGCCCTTTGGGCACCTCTCAGGACCTGTGCTCTTCTGATTTGGGAATATCAAGAAGGTGAACAAGCATTACTTCAGCAGAGCTTTATTGAGCACTCTTGTGTGCCAGTCCCTAATGGCAGAGAATACAGTGTTAAGGGTTACGTGTGCAGGCTTTGGAGACAGACTGCTCGTGTTCACATCCTGGCTTCCACACTTACTAGCTGTGAGACCTTGGTCAAGTTATTTTGCTGAGCTTCAGTTTCTTATTTGTAAAAAGTGATATAATAGTATTCAATGTATTGTTTAGTTATAAACATTAAATGAGATAATTCATATGCAGTCTGGACTGGTAAGCAGGAAGAATTCTTAGCAATGGATAAGAGAAACTTTACTTCCCCAGAGCTTTGGATTCAGTTCTTTATAGTTCCATTATATTGTTTGCAATTGTGTGATTTTCCCCAATCAGCTGCATCTATATTCAAATGTTAGTACAAAAATAATTTGAAAACCAGATGTAAAATTTTTTTTCGATTTAACTGTTTAATTTAGTTCAGCAAACATTGATTGATTGTTCTCTGCTAGACACTGCTGGGAGCTGGACATATAACTTGAATAAGGTATGGGGTTCTGCCCTCAAGATGATCACAGTTTACAGGGAAAAGTATGCATTTAAACATTCTAGGCAGAGGGAACAGTGTGAGTTAAGGCACAGAAATATAAGAAAGCAGGATAGCCTGACCCAAAACAAGGACCTGCAAGCTGCTCTCTAGTGGCTAGAACTTAAGGCAGAGAGGCAAAGGGGTAGGAGGGATGGGGTGAGGGGATAGGGGAAAGGGAGCGGCCCAGTAAAGGGTGGGGCCAAATAGGTTCCAGGTCATCAAGACCTTGAATGCCATACTTAGAAATTAATTTGAGGGCAATGGAGGGAGCCATTGAAGGGCATTTGGAAAGGGAGTTTTGTGATCAAATTATGTTTTAAAAAGGTTGTTTTGACTTCAGAATAGAGGATGAATTGGAGAAGGCATGACTGGGGACAAAGATTAGTCAGTAAATCACTGCAGTAGTGGAAAGAAATATAGGAGGAGGGACTGAGGGGGTTAATAATGAGTTCCATTTTCCATTTTAGAAATGTCAAGGTGGAGGTCCTTCCAAAATAAATAGGTGATGTCCCCTGGGGGACTGGATATTAGGTGCTGGTCCATAGACATGTAATTGTTGCTGTGTAATATGTTCCTAATATCTTATAAAGCTAGTTATACCTCATAATTCCTATTTTTCAAAATAGTATTTTATACTGTTGACCATTTATTTTTCTATAATAAGTCTAAAAATATTGGCTGTATTCGAATAAAAACAGCCTGTTAAGATTTTTGATTGATACAACATCTACAGATTAATTTCTATATTGGCATCTTTGTTCTAATCTTTCCATAGTGTAACGTGTATATCATCTCCTTTCATTCTAATTTTCTTCTATGTATTTTAGTAAAAAAATATTCTTCATATGGGTCTCTCATTCCACCAACATTTACTGAACACCCACCCTCCCAGCCCTCACTTTCTGCCTCTGTGATCTCTGCTGGAGATACAGAGATAAATGTGCTGCGGCTCTTGCCCTCAAGGAGTTCTCTTTGGTGGGCAAGAGATAACTCATCAGATAATTACAACTCATTAAAATTATTATTGTGATGAACAGTAGCAGGGGGTGCTAAGGAAGCACAGAGGAGAGGTACCAACCAAGACTGGGGGTCTTTCAGACTTCCTGGAGGAAGGGCTCCTGAACTGAGTCCTAAAAGCAGAATAGAGTTAATCAGGTGAAGAGGGAAGAAGAGTGTTCTTTGGAGTTTTAATTTCAAAAATAAAGAGACAAGAAAAATACTGAAGTGTTTTAGGAGCTGCAAGTAGCTGGAGTCATAGTATGACATTGCATAGTATGACAGTGGGATAGTAGCTGGAAATGCAACTAGAGAGTAGATGGGAGGGTAGCAGGTTGTGAAGGGAGTTGTAGCACAAGAGTTTGAATACAGGAGTGAAAGATTTGAGTGGAGGAGTGAATTGATCAAATTTATATTTTAGAAAAAATATGCCTGAAAGAGGAAATAAGGTTAAATAAGGGCCACTCTCACTATAGTGTGGGAGATGGCATTAAGGGGTTCCAGACTTAGGCAGAGAAGCCAGTCAGGGCTGTGAGAGTCATCTGGTATATGCCCTGCGGCAAGGGCAGTGTGTAGTAGGGATGGAGAAAAAGGAGCAGTTGCAGAGCTGTCAGGGAGATAGGCGCACACACAGATATCACATACAGACATCACGAGGCATATTCACACAGCCCCCTTTGTTAATGTGCTGCTAAATGGTTTATGGGTTTTACTAGTTTAAACAGGATTTTCCCCCATTGTATTCTGACAGGTTATTGCAGACATAAAAAAGCTACAGATTTGTAAAAAATATATCTATCTTGTATTCTTTCACTTTTTGAACTTTTAATTCTAAGTGTTTAGTTGATTTCTTTGGCTTTTCAGTGTCTTTTTTTTTTTAATCTGAGTACTTTTGCTTACTGATACTTTTTTACCCTTCCCTTCATTTTCCATTTTTATTGTGAAAATCTCAAACACACACAAATGAAGAGAGTAGTGTAACAAACCTCCACGAACCCTTCACCCAGATACAATAGCTATTAAGATTTGGTCCTACTTCATCTTTCCCTTTTTTGTGTTTTCATGCTGTTATTGAAGTATTTTAAAGCAGAATCTCAGACCTCTTGTCATTTCAGCTCTACATACTTCAGTATGCATCTCGAAAAATATGTATGTTTTCTTGTATAACCACAGTTCCATTATGATGCTTAACAAAAACAACAATAATTCCTTGGTATAATTTAATATCAAGATATAGTCATATTCCCTGTTTATCTTAAAATATCTGTTTTTATAGGTGGTTTGTTCCAATCAGGATTTGAATCGCATATCATTTGGTAGTTTAGACTCTACAAAGACTTTTAACCTATAGCAGTCGATAACCTTACTCTCTTTTTAAAGATATACCATTGACTATTGCAGGAATCAGGTCTGTTCTGTAGAATGTAGAACAAATCCTCTGGATTTGTCTCTCTCCTTATGCTGTAATTTTACTCACTCTTCTGTCATTCATATTTTCCATAAGCTGGAACTTAGCTTTGAATGACTAGTTGGATTCTGGTTCATTTTTTCTTAGGGAGGAGGGTGCAAGACTACTTCGTAGGTGGCGCTGTGAAGTGCTACCTGCATTGGACAGTCCCGCTCCTAGGGATGCTAAGATTGATCGGTGGTTTAGGTGGTAACAGCTCATCCCATTATAAATCTTGTCAGCCTTTCATCCAATGAGTTCATCCACTGATGATAGTCACCTAAATGAGTTACTTCACCCTGGGCTACAAAATTTTTTAAAATTCTGTCAATCTTTTAAAAGTTTATTAGCTGAATAAAGAATATTTCCTCAATAACTAGGGCTATTTTGTTGTCTGAGATATAATATGTACCAAAAAGACAAGATAAATGCTTAATTCATGTTCTTTTGTTGCAGTTTTTGGGTTAAGGAGTTGGTACTTTAGTTGTTCCATTCTAAGTATCTATTGATCATGTTTCTATTTTATGACTTATTGCACTGGCTAGTCCATTGATTCCCAGTGATTATCTTGTTTGACAGCCTTTGAGAAATGGGTCTTCATTTGCACAAGAAGCTTTACTGTAGGTCTGTGAATGACTTTGTAAGGGTCACATATCAGTCCATAGTCTTGTCCTCTTCAGAAGACATAACAATCCTTCCTTTGGTTTCTCTTCTCTTGTTCCAGGTTGCACTGTGAACAAGATGCGTCAACACTCAGATTCAGAAGTGGCTAGTCTTGCCAGAGAAGTTTACACTGGGTGGAGAACTTTCATTGAAAAACATTTGGATAGACCTTCTATTGAAGTCCGAAGTGATCCCAAAACCGAGACATTCAGGAAGAATGCACAAAAATTACTCTCAGAGGCTTTGGAATTAGAGGTAATGTCCTGGTTGGAATGTGATTACTACTCGTTCTTGGTTAAATGCACCTCACGTTTTCATAATGAACTTTCATAGTTTGGTATTGTGGCTTTATTCTAACTGGTTGTTCTTTGAGGATTCTGGATTTGTAAGCAGTGTAGTGGAGAATGCAGGCTTTGGAACTAGCAAGACCTGGATTAAAACCCTGGCTCCAGTACAAACTGGTGATGACACCTTAATCAAATTCTTTAACATTTCTGAGACTTGATTTTTTTTATCTGTAAAGTGATTATAATTCTCAACACCTAACAGTATTGAGAAGATTAAATGAATCACTTATAAAAAGGAATAATATAGTACCTGGTGATTAGAAGATAGTGACTTAATGAATGTTGGTTCCTTCCCATTTAAAATTCCTTTCTCCCTGAAGCAAAAATTCTGGGATGGGCTCTATTATGGAATATCAGTGGCAAAATTAAGTATCTGTCTGTTGAAGAGATTATTCCCCCATTTTTTGTCAGTATTCATACCTTTAGTTCTAAGGCATATAATCAGTTGGCAATTCATAATTCTTATCATCTTCATAGCCAGCAGTTCAGCTGTTAGTGGTTTGAGGTATATGTGCTAGAAGAAGGATTTTTGCTTATTAACAATAATATTAACCATCATCATCATCAAACACATTTTATAGGTCAGTTAATATTCTGCAAAAATCACATAGACAACATCCATATTTTTTCCTTCTCTCAGGCAATCCCCATTAAAGTTCCCTTAAAGAATAATTTAATATTATTAACAAAAGAAGCAATTTAGAAGTCTGGTTTAATTCTACATCTATTACTGCATTCTCTGAAAACATATTTTAACTTTGCCATCTCAATTATGAATCTACAAAAGAAATACAAATGGACTTGTGGTATATTATTTACTTTTTAAAAATAAACTTTTGGGCTCTTTGATACAAACTTATGATAGAAAATTCGAAAAACATAGAAAAGAAAAATAAGATCACTGAACTACTACCTTAGATATAAGCTTATTAACATTTTAGTGCATTTTCTGTTTGGCAGATTATTATAGCTCTTTAAATGAATGCTGGGCCAAGTTATGATTATCCCAGATTTATTAAGAGCCAGTTATATGCCAAATGTTCTGTAAGATATTTTTATTGATTATTTAAATAACATTGCAGAAAATCAACAGTTATTTATATTTGTGCTGTATTTTTAACCTTGATCAATATCAATGTCATTTTGTATATCCCTTTCTATATATCTTTTTGTGTTTATAATTATAATAATTATAAATTACATAATTTCTAATGTCTATTTGATAGTTCAATGAATTAATATCAATATAAGTTTGCTTAACTTTTCCTAATGGAAGCTTTAAAATAGGTATTAAACCCTTAGAAGAGAAAAAAAATAAATAAAGATTATAAGTCTAATTTACCAGAGTATCGATTAGTCAACAAGACTTGCTATCTGATATTTTAAATAAAGTTTATTTTTAAATAAACCAAAATTATTGCAGAAACATAGAGTGAGTGTGAGTATATAATATGTAGTTAATGTGGTGGTAAATACCAGTTCCCTGTGGTATCTTTTTAAGTAAATGATAATAATGAAGCTATGCTTGTACGGATTAATGAGCAGTTTGCCTGCTATATTAAACTCCATAATAATTATCCTTTTAGTTTATCCATTAATTATCCTTTAAATGGCACATCAAGTGGTAAGCACTCAAGTGTTACAAAGCAAAGTTAAAAAAGTGATACATTTGTTAGTGCTTTCCAGTGTAATTGGAAAAAATACCAGATTAAGCATAGTTGAATGGTTTTGCTCCCAAAGAGTAAATTTTAAAAATTAAAAATGTGCCTCTTACAGTCTTCCTTGGCCAAAAAAAAGTCAATCTGTTTTCCTTGCACACACAGCATTTGATAGTATTTTTATCAGTTTGGTATGTTAGAGAATATAAATCCAAGCACTTTTACATAAAATTAATAGCTAGCGCCTATCATCACCTGAAACAGTTGCATAGTAGGGTAAATCAATGAACTGTCTAATCCAGTATCTGGTCCTTGATGGTAACCAGTGTTGAGTACATTAAAATCAGACATCAGATTTCCATAAATGCACTTTATCCAGCAGTAGAAACCATTGGGTAAGTTGTTGGCCCAATGACTAAAAACCCTGTACAATTTGATCCTAGTACACATTTTTGCAAATACTCATTACATACAAAATAATGTTCCCGTGTTATTTGTTTTGGTCATGTCCTTTAGGAGTAAAACCACAGATGAAGAATATACACACACAGCCAAAAAGTGCATCTCTTTATTGCGCTAAACAGATCTTGCTTTCCAAATTCATGGATTGTTTCCTTGTACTTGGAATAATGGAATAGATGAATAAAAATTCCACTTTTGAGACCTACGCTCTATTCCCCTTTACTTTCTCCCTTCCGAATCTTTGTTCTTCCCTGTCTTTAGATCTTTCCTCATATGAACGTCCCCTGTGGTGTCATTCTCTTACTTCCCCTTCCTCATTATCCACTCTCCTTCCTACCTCACGGCCTGTGATCATTTTCCTATTATGTCATTAAAAAAAAAAGAACCTGACTCTCACAGTGAGCCTGTGTCATTAAGAGTTATGAAACACTGGCTGGTTGGCCCAGTTGGTTGTCAGGTGGTGCTAATGAGATCCAGGTCAGGGGTATATCCCCATATGGGACTGTTAGTTTTTTCCTTGTTTAATGGCCTCAGACTGCACCTCTGGCTTTGACCAGCTCTCTCCTAAATGTATTCAAGTGGTCAAACAAAGAGTGTGGGTAGATACGTACAAATCCAGTCACACTATTGGAAAACTCATACAAAGTTTACTTCCAGTGGCTTTTCAATTCAACAAATGTCTAGTACTATTTACTAGTGCTAGGGGAAAATATGAACGTAAATTAGTTATCTTCTCTATCCTAAGGAAGCTAACTGTCTCCTGGCTGAAATCCTGTAAGTGACTGACTGACTATAAGGCAAGTTGAAGTGTGTCTGAAATAGTGATACTAGCAAGTGGTATAGACACACAAAGCACAAAACAGTGAAATCTGCTGGGGAAATCCTGGAAGGTTTCATGGAAGAGATGGCAGTTGAACTGGCTTTTCTAAGAGGGTCGGGATCTTCCTAATTAGAAAAAATATATAAAACAGAACATTGTGTTTCATATCTTATCTGCTATGTATAGGATGTTATTGAAATAGCAGGAAAGGAGGGAGGTATACTTAGGGAAAAAAAAGATACTCACTTAACAAATATTTACTGAGTGCCTACTATGTGCCAGTCCCTGTGCTAGGCATGGGGAATTTAGAAATGGATCCAACATGCTATCAGCCCCAGGAGGGCTCACAGTCTTCTAAGAGAAATAAGCAAATAATACAGTTACAATGCAATGTGGGAAGTTCTGCACAGAAGGGAAAACCTGAAGAAGACCTTCTTACAGCTGTGGCAGACATCACTAATTGATTATTGCACTGCTTGGGTTTAGAATCCTTGATGAAAGACAGCTGTAGGTGGTCATGTTTTATATCTTCTCCCAGCCATAGCCAATTCATACAGGATTGGACAACTGAGTAACATGCTTGATTCACAGGTACAAACAGATAAGGAAGGCAAATCAGATTCTCTGTCTCTGAGAAATGTGAAGTAGGAAATGCCAGTGGGAGTACTGAACAGAAGGGCTGTTGGAGGAGTTATGAGGAAGCAGAAGCTGTGGGTGGAGAGGTGTAGATGGCAGGTAGGGACTGGGGGGGTTGGACATGAGGCAGTTAGAATTCGTGGTGAGGAAGGCAAATGGAGAGGAGCAAAAACCTGTGAGAAAGAGCCTGGGCAGACTGTGAGGGTCAAGGACAAAGGATCTGGTCCCTTAATTAAATCCCTACGTTTTTTACAGCCTTCCCATTCCCATTCCCATTCCCAGATGTATCTCACAGCAAAACCTCATTTCCTCAGGGTCTCAGTGAGACTGGTCCTTTCACCCAAAAGCAGTTACCTAAGATACCAGGTTGAAGCCATTGGAAAGGACTCAATAACTTTGGTAGGTTTGGATTATCCAAAGGCAGTTATAAGATGTGCCTTTTTCACTTTGTGCAGTGAACTTGTTAGACACAAGGGTGCATGATGAATCATTTTCCCTTATGGTAGACATTTTCATACCACTGATGTTTTTTTTCATTTCTTCATTCTCACTGGCCTTCATTTAACAAGAGGCATGCATGAGAATTGTTAGATGCTTGCTTTCTGTTCCCATCACTTCACTGATACAGCACCTATCCTGCTGCCCCACAGTTACCCTGGGTATGTGCCGTTTTCTTCTCTGTAGGCTGTGAGTTCCTCGAGGGCAGGGGTCAGTGTCTCTAATACGCAGATCAGGCCATACTCAAAATAACAACTGAGTATTTGCTGAATGAAATATGAATGAATATCTGGTTTTGTGAATTCCAAGGCACACTCAGAGATTTCTTTTTAATACATATCTATTACAGTTTGATGGAATAGCCAAGACCTGTTTTGCAAATGCACACATACTCTTCTTCCCCTAAGAACCACTCCCCTGAAGAAAAAGAAAAGAGCTTTTTTCTTGCCTGTTACATTAAATGAATCTCTAAGCTGTCAGTGACTAACCCTCCTCACACTGGGATGAAGAACCCACAGTGGGATGAGAAACCTCTCTGGCAAATGTTCCTGGATAAATGCTGGGCCTTCCAGCCTCCTAAAGTAGTCTGGTACCAGGGCTGCTTTAGGCCAGGGACTAGTTCCGTGCCCACCCAGGAGGCCATGAAAAGCTCAAAGAGTCTGGGTTCTGGAGAGCCATGGCACCATGTCCACTCACTCTAGCACCAGTCTTGGAAGTAATGTCAGTCATCAGGACCACAGACTTCCCGAAACATCTTTTGTCTGCTACAGCTAGGCAGATGTCTAGGCCTGGATATTCACTTTCTCTCTCTCTCTCTCTCTCTCTTTTTCTCTTTCAGTCCTGTTCTGCTCCCTTGGCCCTAATTTCTTCCAAGTTTCTTTTTCTATTTGCTTAGGTCTGCCAGTCTCTCAGGTCAGGGGATGCTTTTTTATTTTTGGTGCATATTTTTCTTAAGTTTTTCTTTTTAAATAGAAGTTTGGTACATATCTAGAAAAGTACACCGAAGATACATGTACAGCTCAATGAATTTATCACAGAGCAAATGCCCACTTTACCTGACCAGACCCTGTTCATTCTCCTTCATTCTCCAGCCCTCAGGTCAAGTGTCATTTCCTCCTGGAGCCTGGTGCTGCCCTTCTGGGCTGGGTCCCTTTGCTGTAGCTCTGCACCTCAGCACTTGTTTCTGTTCCTGTCCCCTGTCCTAACCATCAGTACATTCACAGTCCCTGTTCACTGCCTGTCTCCAACTGGACTCTGCTTTCCATCCGTGGAGTCAAGGGTCAGCCTTGTTCACTGCTTTTTTCTGTCAGCCCAAGCACAGCTTGGCACATCATCAGAGTAAGTGCTGACTAAATATTTGAAAGAAGTGGGATGGGGGGGGTAGGGAAAAAAAGGAAGTGAGAGAGAAATTTGTTTCCTGTTTTCAAGGAACTCACTAGTGGGGAAGACAACTCAAAAAATAAAGCATTATAATATATTGTGAAATGACTAAGGGAAGCTCAGGACAATGCGGCAGCTCAAAGGAGCTAGGATTTGCTTTTTGCTCTTTGTTTTTTAGTAGCTAAGCTATGACATGCAAATAGGAATGTGTTTCCTGGGAAAGTGTGCCTTGCTGAGGGAACAAGGACCTGTGCAGAGGCAGAGAAGTATTTGAAAGCAGCTTAGCTTACTCAGACTGGGCTGTGTCAGGACAGGGTAGGCGAACAGTGGGAGCTGGGCCTGGAAGGGAAGGTAGTAAGGCAGACCCTGATCAGCAGCCCAGGCTGGCCTGGATCCTGACCATGTGGACCAGATTCCAGATCTGTCTGCTTTGTATAGGTCTGTAACTTCAGGAGGTGCTTGGCCTGAGCCAGACCACCCCAGAATTGCTATATGTTCTATCCCCTAGGCCTGCTCTGCTTAGTCAACCCTGCAGAAGTCTCTCCTCAAGTGGACTCTCAATGTTGAGGGGATGGTTATTAGTATGGTGAAAGGGAAAAAACATAAACTTTGGAATTGGAGGCTCCAAGTCAGAATTCCAGCTCTACCTCTTATAATTGTAAGATTTTGAGTCTTTCTTTACCTTTGAACCTGTTTCTTCATCTGTAAAATGAGATAGTAGGAGTTATGAGCATTAAATGTGAAAAGTGATTTATAAGCTGTTCTACACACATATTAGAATCCAGATCCAGTGTTTCTCAAATGTTATAAGGGGTTAAAAGGCACTTTTAAGACAACCAAAAAGTATAAACTGTTCAACTGATTTAGCTCAAAGGAGCTAGGATTTGCTTTTTGCTCTTTGTTTTTTAGTAGCTAAGCTATGACATGCAAATAGGAATGTGTTTCCTGGGAAAGTGTGCCTTGCTGAGGGAACAAGGACCTGTGCAGAGGCAGAGAAGTATTTGAAAGCAGCTTAGCTTACTCAGACTGGGCTGTGTCAGGACAGGGTAGGCGAACAGTGGGAGCTGGGCCTGGAAGGGAAGGTAGTAAGGCAGACCCTGATCAGCAGCCCAGGCTGGCCTGGATCCTGACCATGTGGACCAGATTCCAGATCTGTCTGCTTTGTATAGGTCTGTAACTTCAGGAGGTGCTTGGCCTGAGCCAGACCACCCCAGAATTGCTATATGTTCTATCCCCTAGGCCTGCTCTGCTTAGTCAACCCTGCAGAAGTCTCTCCTCAAGTGGACTCTCAATGTTGAGGGGATGGTTATTAGTATGGTGAAAGGGAAAAAACATAAACTTTGGAATTGGAGGCTCCAAGTCAGAATTCCAGCTCTACCTCTTATAATTGTAAGATTTTGAGTCTTTCTTTACCTTTGAACCTGTTTCTTCATCTGTAAAATGAGATAGTAGGAGTTATGAGCATTAAATGTGAAAAGTGATTTATAAGCTGTTCTACACACATATTAGAATCCAGATCCAGTGTTTCTCAAATGTTATAAGGGGTTAAAAGGCACTTTTAAGACAACCAAAAAGTATAAACTGTTCAACTGATTTATTATCCTAGGTCTTCGTTTCCTGGTTGGCAAAGTACAGGGCCCAGTACCCGTTGCTTAGTTCAGGCCAGTTTCCTGTTATAATAGCAAATATTACCACCCGGCAGGGGTTGTGAATGAGGTCCCTGTCACAAAGCACATGGCCTTGTTCCTTAATTGCCAGGGTGGAATTAATTTGCTCTTCCTGTTTCTCTTGTGACAGGAAGTAGATGTCCTTGCATTTCAGTTGATTAATGGAGGCCTCTGAGCAAAGTGCTCCAGCCTCTCCTGCTTTTAATCCTTATGCAATGCAAGGCTCTAATTTGATAATTTTGCTGTTTTTTAGATGGATCACCTACTGGTTGAAAATATTGAGCGGGAAACGTTTCATCTCTGCTCCCGCCTCATTAATGGGCCATACCGGCGGACGGTGAGAGCCCTGGTCTTCACATTAAAGCACCGAGCTGAAATCCGGGCTCAGGTGAAGAACGGCTCACTGCCAGTCGGCACGTTTGTACAGACCCACAAAAAGTGACCTGAGGATGCATGGACTGGGCAGAAAGGAAAATGGGCCTCTCTGTGCCATTCAAAGACTCCTTTGTGTTTGGGTGATGGCTGATGCTTGCTGTGCTAAATTTTCCCATGGTGCCATTCCTCCAGACGGGGGATGCAGAGAGCCCTGCGAGACAGGCCTGCAGGATATGCTTCATTAGCTGGAGTGTACCAGTGCTACCTAACAGAATGGACACTGGCTGTCACTGGGAAGCACCGTACAGTTGCCATCACCCAGCACAGTGACAGGGTGACAGATTTCACTGTCAATATACCAAGGACACCTCTAAACTTCCCCCATGTCAGGCAGATGAAGTTACTGCTTTATTTCGCCACCTGCAGGTAACTGAAACTCAATTACCACTGCTGTTCACGCGGTTCCATCCCCCTGAGTTTAGATAGCTCCGGTGCCTCTCAGAACTCCCCTGTCTATTCTCTTTGCTCTACCCCAGGGGTGAGCCTGCTGGAGCCAGCCAGCTACCCCTTCTTTCCAGAACTCGCTTATCTAAATGTTTCAGCTCTCTCTGGAAGACTTGCGTTGGTCTTCGGAGCCCCCATGCTGAGGCTTCAGATGAGCCGCTGGCTTGACGCGGGCCCATACCTTGGGCTTATTTGAATACTGATCCTCCATTTAGGGCTCTGTAGAAGATAGATAATAAGATTTCTCTTGAAATGAATTACTGTAGTAGAAAAAATACATATATATATTTAAAATGAAATACCTCTATATGGGCCTCCTTGAACCATTGTGTAAATGATACTTTTTACACTTTTAAAAAATAATAATAAACTGGGACTTTTTTCCCCTAAACAAAACATATGGCTTATTCATTGAAAAGTGGGGTTGAGAAAGAGTATAGTTGGTGAAAATAAAGAATGATTGGATCTTGCTGCACTGATTGACAGTGACTGCATTGGGGTATGGGTGGGGACTTGATAATATGGGTAAATGTAGTAACCACATTTTTTTTTTCATGTGAAACCTTCATAAGAGTGTATATCAATCATACCTTAATAAAATTTTTAAAAAAAGAGAGAATGATCGGAGAAGGATTTGCAGGGTATAACAAGACCCAGAAAAGGTCTTTTAGGTTAGGAGAGACAGGAGTATGTTTGTAATCTGAAAAGAAGGAGCCGGTAGAAGGGGAGAGATTTAAATATTTTTAGATGTAGGAGTAGGAGATGGGTTGAAAACTAAGGACAAAAGGGAGAAGACTGTCTGCCTTCTAAGTGCTAGATACTTTTCCTAAGATTATTAGCATTTACATTGAGCTTTATGCAGTTTTTAGAATATCCTGTTTAATCCTCTTACCTGTTGTATTGGTATTGTTTCAGTTTTTTAGATTTCTTTAACTATTTCAGCAACTATTTACTGAGATTTCAGCAACTCTTTACTGAGCACCCATTTCATGGGGCATTGTAGATACCTGGCAGTAGCTACAGATGAGACCCTGAGACTCCCTAAGAGGAAGTATCTTGTTGAATTTCACACTGTTAGTAACTATTGGAGCTAGAATAGTAATTGGGCACTTATCATGTACCCACCACTGTGGAAGACATTTTTTAAATTAATAGTAATAATACCCAGCTAAAGATGAGAAAAGTAAGGCTCAGAAGGTTTAGTAACTTACTCAAGGTCACACAGATAGGGAATGAAGATCTAAGATTTATAAACCGAGATCTGTTTGGCTCTATACAGTCTTCCTGGTTGATTTCATCCACTCAGGCTTTTAAGCATCATTATGTGCCGACAACACTCTGATTTGTATCTTCAGCCCATATTTGTCCCCTTAGTTTCAGGTGCTGTCTCCTAGATGTCTCATGGGCATCTCAGATATGACATGTCTTCTCTCATTTGGCAATGTGGCACTCCAGATGGGAGCCCGAAGGTCAGCCTAGACCCCTCATCTCCCATCCTTGCCCAACCAAGTCCTGATGGTTCTACTTCTCACATAAATTTAGAATCACTTGCCTCTTCTCCATCTCAGATACCGCTTTATTCTCTCTTGCCCAGTTGACCACATGGCCTCCTAACTGGTCACTCTGTCTCCAGTCTTAACCTCTTCAAATGCACATCCCTATGCTAGAAACAAAGTGACGTCTCACACCTGGAAATCGCACCGTGTCTCTCCTACTCTGAGTATTTTCACATGCTGTTTTCTCTCTATGCCTAATTCTCTCTCCTATGATAATACCTATATATATGCCCCTACCATAATACACTGTGTGCTATTTTATACAGATCCATATGTTCTATGGTTGTGCTTTTGATGCTGTCTCCCCACTAGATTGTCATCTCTTTCAAGTCAGAAATCTTATCTCACTCATCTGGTATCTTCAGTCCTCAGAGCAGTGCTTGCCCCATAGTAGTGCCCAATAAATATTTGTGGGATTGATGGATATCAAGGTGCCTGTGCTCTTCCTACCTCTATCCTTCCTCTTATAGTCTATTGTCCACAGAGTAACTAGAGTAAACCTTTTAAAATTTAAAACAAATCATCTTATCTTTTCAGAACCTCCTAGTGGCTTCCATTTCATTCAGGACAAAATCCCAAGCCCTTGTCATGTCCTCCAAGGCCCAGTGTGATCTGGCACATACTCATCCCTCTGCTATAAACTCCTACCTATCCTTCGAGATTTAGCTCATACATTAACTCTGTGTGAGGACTTTCCTTCCCTTAGAATGGTGAACACCAAAGACTTCTGCTAACTTAGGAACCTAGAGTAAGTTGAAACAAATTGCTGTCTGGCTGAAAGGCTTCAGTGGTGATAGTTAGAAAGTAAAATGATTGCAGAGATGTGCTTTGGAGGTTTGGAAAGTAGGCTGTATTATGGCTGTTTTCTCCTTGATGGGTGTGTAGAATTTCCATGAATGTTAATGGAGCTGTGTTTTGAGTGTTTGCCAAAGAGAAGGAGGCTTGCAGACATCCATCCAAGCTTACCCCTGCCACTAAGAAGCACAGCTGAACTTCAGCCTGTTAGAAATGAAAGGGTCAGCTCCTGAAATGGGATGAGAAGCTCCCTCTGAGCTACCTGTAAAAAATCTAGATATGATTGTCTTCTAAATGTGTTCAATTGCTAGAGGAAATTTGGGAAATGAAATACCATTAGATTCTGCTCCAGCAGCTTTTTTGTTTTAATTTTGATATCGTTAATGTACAATTACTTGAACATTATGGTTACTAGACTCCCCCTATTAACAAGTCCCCCCCACATACCCCATTACAGTCACTGTCCATCAGCGTAGTAATATGCTATAGAATCATTACTTGTCTTCTCTGTATATACTGCCTTCCCTATGTCCCCAATCCCCTACGTTATGTCTGCTAATCGTAATGCCCCATTTTCCCCTTTATCCCTCCCTTCCCACCCATCCTCCCCAGTCCCTTTCCCTTTGGTAACTGTTAGTCCATTCTTGGGTTCTGTGAGTCTGCTGCTGTTTTGTTCCTTCAGTTTTTTCTTTGTTGTTATACTCCACAGATGAGTGAAATCATTTGGTACTTGTCTTTCTCCGCCTGGCTTATTTCACTGAGCATAATACCTGCTCTAGCTCCATCCATGTGGCTGCAAATGGTAGGATTTGTTTTCTTCTTATGGCTGAATAATATTCCATTGTATATATGTACCATATCTTCTTTATCCATTCATTTACTGATGGACACTTAGGTTGCTTCCATTTCTTGGCTATTGTAAGTAGTGCTGCTATAAACATAGGAGTGCATATGTCCTTTTCAAACTGGGCTCCTGCATTCTTGGGGTAAATTCCTAAGAGTGGAATTCCGGAGTCAAATGGTATTTCTATTTTGAGTTTTTTGAGGAACCTCCATACTGCTTTCCATAATGGTTGAACTAATTGACATTCCCACCAGCAGTATAGGACGGTTCCCCTTTCTCCACATCCTCACCAACATTTGTTGTTGTTTGTCTTTTGGATGTTGGCTATCCTAACTGCTGTGAGGTGATACCTCATTGTGGTTTTAATTTGCAATTCCCCGATGTGGAGCATCTTTTCATGTGTCTGTTGGCCATCTGAATTTCTTCTTTGGAGAAGTGTCTGTTCAGATCCTGTGCCCATTTTTTATTGGATTATTTGCTTTTTGTTTGTTGAGGTGTGTGAGCTCTTTATATATTTTGGATGTCAGCCCTTTATTGAATCTGTCATTTATGAATATATTCTCCCATACTGTAGGATGTCTTTTTGTTCTACTGATGGTATCCTTTGCTGTACAGAGCTTTTTAGTTTGATATAGTACCACTTGTTGATTTTTGCTTTTGTTTCCCTTACCTGGGGAGATATGTTCATGAAGAAGTTGCTCATGTTTATGTCTAAGAGATTTCTGCCTATATTTTTTTCTAAGAGTTTTATGGTTTCATGACTTACATTCAGGTCTTTGATCCATTTTGAGTTTACTTTTGTATAGAGGGTTAGACAATAATCCAGTTTCATTCTCTTACATGTAGCTGTCCAGTTTTGCCAACACCAGCTGTTGAAGAGGCTGTCATTTCTCCATTGTATTTCCATGGCTCCTTTATCATATATTAATTGACCATATATGTTTGGGTTTATATCTGGACTCTCTAGTCTGCTCCATTGGTCCATGGGTCTGTCCTTGTGCCAGTAACATTGTCTTGATTACTGTGGCTTTGTAGTAGAGCTTGAAGTCAGGGAGTGTGATTTCCCCCTGCTTTATTCTTCCTTCTCTGGATTGCCTTGGCTATTTGGGGTCCTTTGTGGTTCTGTGTGAATTATAGAACTATTTGCTCTAGTTCATTGCTGTAGGTATTTTGATAGGGATTGCATAGAATCTGTAGATTGCTTTAGGCAGGATGGCCATTTTGATAATATTAATTCTTCCTACCCAAAAGCATGGGATGAATTTTCATTTATTAGTGTCCTCTCTAATTTCTCTTAAGAGCATCTTGTAGTTTTCAGGGTATAGGTCTTTCACTTCCTTGGTTAGGTTTATTCCTAGGTATTTTATTCTTTTTGATGCAGTTGTGAATGGAATTGTTTTCCTGATTTCTCTTTCTGCTAGTTCATTGTTAGTGTATAGGAATGCAACAGATTTCTGTGTGTTAATTTTGTATCCCACAACTTTGCTGAATTTAGATATTAGACCTAGTAGTTTTGGAGTGGATTCTTTAGGATTTTTTATGTACAATATCATGTCATCTGCAAACAGGGACAGTTTCACTTCTTCTTTGCCAATCTGGATGCCTTTTATTTCTTTGTATTGTCTGATTGCCGTGGCTAGGACCTCCAGAACTATGTTGAATAAAAGTGGGGAGACTGAGCATCCTTGTCTTGTTCCCAATCTTAAAGGAAAAGCTTTCAGCTTCTCGCTGTTAAGTATAGTGTTGGCTGTAGGTTTGTCATATATGGCCTTTTTTAAGTTGAGGTACTTGCCCTGTATACCCATTTTGTTGAGAGTTTTTATCATGAATGGATGTTGAATTTTGTCAAATACTTTTTCAGCATCTATGGAGATGATCATGTGTTTTTCGTCCTTCTTGTTGATGTAGTGGATGATGTCAATGGATTTTCAAATGTTGTACCATCCTTGCATCCCTGGAATAAATCCTACTTGATCATGATGGATGATCTTTTTGATGTATTTTTTAACTCAGTTTGCTAATATTTTGTTGAGTATTTTTGCATATACGTTCATCAGGGATATTGGTCTGTAATTTTCCTTTTTTGTGGTGTGTTTGCCTGATTTTGGTATTAGAGTGATGTTGGCCTCATAGAATGAGTTTGGAAGTATTCCCTCCTCTTCTACTTTTTGGAAAATTTTAAGGGGGTTGGGTGTTATGTCTTCACTAAATGTTTGATAACATTCAGCAGTAAAACCATT